TTTTGTAGTTATGTCAATCTTAATCTGAACTAAACATACATACTTTTCTTTATTAGAAGGTGCTTCAAATTACATAATAAGTTTTTGTTTATAAGTTAAGCTCAAATTTATCAAATATTTCCATTGTAGAATGTTCAAGATATATTTTCTGGAATTTTTGCATAAAAAAGAAGTTAAAATTTAATAAAATTATTTTTAAAAATAAATTTAAAGACCTTATTGGGTTGTTATATATTTAATTTTTTAATCCTCAATTCTAGTTTTCAATACATTCTTAAATAGTGACTAATAGGCTAATTAACACTTTCGTCAAATACCGATCAAATTTTGAGATTGCTTGTATGCCATAATAATTAAGTAGTTAAAAATTTTTTTTTCTTGTCGGCAATCAAGATAATATTTCATGTTTAAACAAATTTAAATCCAATTATATGGCTTATTTTGCTGCAACTAATGAGTACTTACTATTTGCAATTTTACCTTCAAGAATGCAATGGCATGCAGTTTTCCCAGCTTAGAAAAGATTTTTATAAAATTGCTTTACAAAGAAGTGTAATAATAAGAATGCAATAAAATTAAGCCATTTTATTAGCTTCTCAAAATAAAACACCTAAAGTAATGTGTAGTTTAATAATTTTCTAATAATTATTAAAACTGAATTTCCATACATGAAAATTAATAATCAGAAATTTGGTGAGAATAAAAAGGATTTTTTAAAAGTGTTAGACTTTTTAAATATTATTTTATTTTATGGAATTGTTTGACTCCACTTTTGAAATACGAATTTTAAAATTTTATGCATATATATTATATATACTTAAATTGTTTGGTTTCAAATTTCAACAATACTGAATTTATTAATATACATTATAAAAAAGTATAATATCTAGATTAAATGTTATAATTTTGATATTACATATGCAGTTAAATAATTATATTTAAATAAATTTACAATAAAATTTAAAGCCATTTATAGAGCATTTTAGGCAAGTGTAGGAATGAAATTATTTGTGCTTGCAAATAGTATGCTTGGTCAAAATAATCGGCACCTCTTTCATATCACATGGATTTATCGAAAAATACAATCTTCAGTCCACATAAGTTTACTAGGTGCTCTGCTTTTGTATTATTTTAACCGTGGTTTTGTAGCAGAGCATGTAAGTATCATCTTACTTGCTAAGCTTCACTCGCATATTTACACAGGATTTTCATATCCTGTATTTTATACAAATATTTCAAATAGCTAATCATAGTGTACTAGTATTCCGAATAACCATTTCCATTTTCACAAGAGTCTACAATTTAAAAATTAGGAAATCTGGATCTACAATGCTTGCTAAGTCTCTTACTCTGTGAAATATATTATATTAAACGTCTAAGCGTAAGGCAATAATATATGTGTTATATATATATATATGTGTGTGTGTGTGTGTATATATACGACACGATCTTTTGCAGCATCGCATCAAAGAACAGAAACTTGCTGCAAAGCACAAAAAAAGTCGCAACACAATCTTGCAAAGCGAGTGTCAACTTGCTTTTTTGATCGAACTTGTATTAAATGTGTGAAATTCTTTAAGCAAAATAAGGCCTTTAGTTATACAATTCGTTCCAGAGTTTTCTTAATGTAAGCACCAGGAAGAAAGTTCATTCCATGGACGTCGTGACTGCTGTAAAAGTTATGCTGAATGACTTGAATTTTTTACACCTTGATGATGCTGTCAGAAGAATATGGCTTATCATTTCAATTTCCTGAAGAATTTCACTTGTAATATTTCGCGTGAACTTTATTACCGACACGAAATATAATCCTGTTGCATATTAACACAAAACAAAAATGTCAATCTTCTAATGTTAATACATTTCTTTGCAACGAAGAAAATTTTGTTTTCATATAGAAATTAAAGAAAAACATTTTATGTGCATAGGATTATAGTTAAATACTTCTATCCAGTATTGAAAAATTTCTTCTTTTGATTTTGCTTTTCATTATTTTTATTACAATTTTTACAAAAAAGTTTTTGAGGGAGGTGTAGGTTTCTTTTAAATTGTGAGTATTTTCGTTTTATGCGTTTATTTAAAATGCAGAACATTGGGATAATTTAAGAAAAATTAACAAGATACAGCCTATTAACCTAATTATTCAGTCTTGTAATTCAAACTGCCTTTCACGTTTTGATGTTCTAAATTGAATAAAAGGCTTGTTTTAAAAGCTTTCACTAATTGTACTAAATATGATCAATTTTTTTTTGTCAAAATTTCATTATATATATTTCACAATAAACTTATGAATTTTATGCATTATTAATAATAAAAAAATCTCAGTGTCAGTGCAATAATTGTTGTGCGTGCTTATCTTAGCATTCTGTACTGTTATGCTTGCTCTCTTTTCTTTGCTGCTGTAATGCTAAAAGATAATTTGCATTCTTCATCACACGTATCGTGAACTTGATTGAAACTAAACGAGCAAACAAATTCATCATCTTGATTTCAAATGTTCTGTGATATTAATGAGTTTTTGCATTTTTTTTAATTAAAGTGAGCCCAATGACATAAATGTTATTAGTGAATTAGTGAAAAAAATATCACTATTTTCAAGTTACTGATTAAATTATTGGATCACTATCCATACTTATTCATGTTCCTGAGTTAAAAAGCAATATGCTTTCATAAATTATTTAACTCAGAATTTTGATGATGATACTCAAGAAGAATCTTTGTGGAATATTAAGATGTAGAATGTTCAGTTTTCGGTAGATAAAGCGCGGGGCACTAAAGATGGTGGTGCAGGAGTCCTGTTACTGCTCCCTAGGTTTACTGAAGTCCAGTTAGGTCGATTTGCCAGCGATGCTGCATCGTCAGGATGTAGGTACACATGACGGCTATTGGGCTGTTGTGTCGATGGTTGTCGCTGCTGTGCTCCACTTTGTGGTTGGGTTTCAGTAGAATTCAGAGCAGGAAGTGCAGACAAAGCTTTTGTCAACACATCTGGAAGTGCTTCTAATTGTTCTTGAATGACGGTTAGACGATCTTCTAAGGATAGCACTCTCTCCTCTAGAACCTCATGCCGTTGATTCATTTCAGATACCATTTCGAAAACAGAATTTTGAGTCTAGAATAAAATATAAATATATTTAAATAGTTTGGTGTAAATCATTCATGATATTACATATCCGTGTTTATATCAAAATAAAATAAGAACGAAATACGAAAACTAAATAACGAACAAAATAAATACGAAAACTAAATAAGACCAATTTACAGAAAAAAAAAAAAAAAAAAAAATGCAGTAAAATAGTTTACATTGATTGTCAGCTGGATGGAGAGAGCTGGCAGAGAACTACAGAGGGTGTTCACACATTTTTGGAAAAATGGAATAATATGAATAATTATATTCGTTTATAAATAAATTTTTTCAAAATCAGAAAAATATATGTATAAACAAACATGATAATTTTATTTCCTACTATGGTCAGTCTAGTAGCCCTTTTATTGAAAAATAATATCATATCTTGATTCCAAGATAAAATAACTTTTCTTAAATATCATGATTGATTCCTATATAGAAATCTTTAAGAATCCATGTAATGCTTTGGGATGCCGCTTATAAAGAGCTAGGTGGTCTTGGGTGAGATGCATTTCAATGGAATAGCTTCAATTCCAATTCCGGTTTCATTTTTCATTTTTTTCAGACATAGAGCAGTAGATTTAGAGGTATGACTGGTAGCCTTATCTTGATGGAACTTACACAATGAAGATCGTTTTGGTAAAGTGCGGGAATGCTTCTTTGAAAATAGGAGCAAAAACATATTTCTGAAAGGAATCCGAGTTAATTTTGACATTTTTTCTACTTATTTTGTTTTCCGTTATAAGAAAATTCAGTAATAATCATAAAACCTTTAGCTAAACTTTCGTTGTTTTTTCTGAACCAACATTTTAGGACTTTTTCTCCTCTTTTTGGTAGTAAATCGATCTTTTTCTATTGCAATTAGATAACTATATCTAAATCTCATCAAGTGTAATTATATTTTTCCATTTTTCACCTGCTAAATAATTTTCACACAACAGTCTTCACATTGTTTTATGTTAAAAAACATGTTTTGGCTTTAGCCGATGAACACCTTTTATTTCTTTTTTCTATGAGCTTTAAGTCAGATTTTATAACTTTAAACAAAGTTCCCACATAGACATTTTAAGATTGTGCGATAGTTCTTTGGTGGTGGTGAGATTGGAACTTTTTTAAAACAAGAGATGCAACTTTAGATATATTAAGAGGAGTGCATACCTTAGTTGGGTAGGCATGTTTTGCATTTTCCACAGTGAAATGTAAAGTTTTAGGCTTCTTTCCTTTTTTATTAATTGTGTTACTTATTTTACGTGTAAGAAAATTAAAACCATGCTTTTCACATCATTTTAAATAAGAGGATTTCTCTTAATAAAGTGCAAAATTATAGCCTTCTATCCATTGTTTATTTTTGTACTGGCTATTTATACATTGTTATAATTAAACCCTATGCCGGAGTGATGCCATCTAATTTTTCATTCATTTAAATTTAATACATGGCGAAAGTCAAAATCGTTTAAAAAATATTTGAACACCCTCTGTGAGTCACACCTATCTAAAAAAATTGGTTTTCTATTAAAAAGGAGTATCGTTTATTTAGCCTAGAAATATTCAAAAATGCTAATTAAATTACAAAACTGATGAACGGAGATTTAAAGAAAGTGGTTCATCCAAAAGGTAAATCTTTCGCAGAGTCCTTCATTGTGCTTGCTAGAGAGCGAGAAGAGCCAAGATAAATTCATATATAAATAAAACTAAGCGAAACAAAAGAAGAGATAATTTAAATGTCTCAAATTTTGTTTTCAGATGTAAGTAAATGTATACTAATTCGTTATACTACAAATAATTTAACCAAATCCAAATCCAAAGCCAAATTGTAAGAAAAGAACACTCAAGTAACAGTAAATCGTATGCCGTAATGTAATCATATAAGGTTTGAAGAAGGCAGTCAACTGCAAGATGTGGTGTGAATTTCAGCACACATTGAATAATGATTTTTCGAACTCAGATTGCGGCCTTAGATCTGCCCCGGAGCCTCGCCTGCCTGAGGGTTATAAGATTTCTTTAGATATTAATCCAGATGTAACTAAGAAAAAAAATATTTTTCTAGTGCAGAGAAGCTAGCATTCAACGATTCAATGGTAAAAACGACGTATTTGAATAATGCAAGGTAATTGAATTTGAGTATCGATTGTTTCTTTCAATCAGGTCATAAAAGCTATACGACTTACAGTGTTGGCCAAAAGTTTTGCATCATTTAAGCGCTTGCAAATTTTTAGAATATGGGACGGTATTTTGGATAGTAGTTATTTTTTCTTTTTAAGTAATACTAATTTATGTCATTTTCCCTCAGTTATTCATATTTGTAAATTAGACTAAGAAGTTCATTAGTGTTTTAAAAATTATAGCTCTAAAATTTCTTAATCGATAGCTAATCAACTTAAGGTTACTTATTTTTTTACAAAAGTATTGACTAATCAGATGGTAGCAAAATTGATTAACATTGAAGAAGGATACATTTTCTTCACTACTGCTAAGTTTTGCGATATTCTTATGACGCAGCCGTTTGAGTTTTATAATATATTAAAGTATAATAATCAAGAAAATATGTAGCTATGCATTAAATAAATAAATATTTAAAATTATCAAAAAAATTTGAACAAATTAATATATGAAGCAAACACATAACATCAATTCTAATGTTAAAAGTACTGTATATTTCCGAATATAAACCGATCCATCCCTTTATAGTCGAGAGTGTGTTTAAAAATTTACCTTTTAAAAAGACCTTTAAAATTATTAAAAATTTACCTTTTTTACTCTCGCCTATTTCTTTTTTACTTCAAGAAATTTACTCAAGTTCAATACCCGTATATAAGCCGAAATGGAGGGGGAAAAATCCTGTAACGTCGCCATTACATGGAAAATGTTGCCAAGTAGGTAAAATGGGTGGAATATTTCCCAATCAAATTGTTATAAAATAAAACGCCAGACGCCAACTTTGATAATTATAATTCTGATAACCCTATATGAAGCTAGCGTATTGTTATCAATCTGTATCGTATTGAATCTGTAGCGTACTGAATGTAATTTACAACTAAATATCAGGTACAAGATGTCACAAGTGTCGTGAGGACACGCAAAAAGAAATTGCGAAAGGTTCATCTAAAGAGATATTCTGTAAGTTCAAGTGAGTTCATACTTGCAATACGTCTAGAAAAAAAATAATCTAGACGATTTTACTATTGGTTGAATGATCGGCTAGTTTCACGAGACCTCTAATATCATATACATAGTCCAAGAGTTTTGAATTGTCAGAAATGTCATCTTTCAATTTTGGAAAACCTTCCAAACCACAGCACCCCTGTAAGAAATATTGGTGTTGGTTCGGCCAAGAAAAATAATGCCAGCGGATAACTGATATATCGTTCGCAGATGTAAAAGAGATCTATAACAGTCAGTAGGCAACATTGTTCAGTCAAACGGGACAACAGGGCATCAAGTGTTGCACTTTATTGTGGTCAGATACCTTAATAAAGGTGACCCATTCACATGTCATCCTGAAAGCTGCGTTCTACTTACAGCTGCTCATCGGCAGTACCATTTTGACTGGTTAAAGGAGCGCAACGATTGAACATCTCATCAATGAATTTGTGCCTTCTTTACAGACGAAAGTCTTTTTTGTATCACAAACGATTTTCAACGATTTAGTTGATATGCAGAGAGATATGTACATGGTTTTACCCCACTAAGATCAGGAATCGTTGCGGTGGTCTTACGATGAACGGATGGACTAAAGTTTAAATTTTAGCTGGAGAATTGTTATCAGAAATCACTGTGGTCAGAAAGTGATCCTTCATCCCGGCCATCTGTTCCGACGATTTCGTTTTTATGATTGATAATTTTCCAGGTCGCATAAACTTCGTGCTGTGGAGGAAGTTCTAGAAAATGAAAATATCACAATAAATTGGCCAGTGTAATAACCTGATTTAAATATCATAGAACATGTGTGAGATGATTTGGGGAAACGCCTTTCTTAACAATTATATCCGGAGAACAACCAACAACTGAAACAGTAGTTGATTGAGGAATGTGCACTCTGGTCTTAGCAACAGTTGGAAAAATCTGGTGTTAGTACAGTTGTGTTAGGTATTATTCTGGTACAAGAAGTGATAAGCAACCATTGCAGTTGAGAGATGCCAAACTTAATTCATCATCATCATTCATCCTCTTCTTCTTCTTCCTGAGAAGGCAAGTATTAATACTATTGCTACAATACTTTCTGACTCTTACGATAATGCATTTTTTATTTTATTCCACACTGTATGCGTTCGATACATTTTTGCGTTATTATGTTTTTTTCATCCTTTAAATATAAAAAATTAGTTCTGAATTCTGAATTTCATGTCACCCAGGTTATTTTTTGTGGAGTTACGGCAGAAAAGGAGGAAAAAAAGAACTGTTGTTGCATATTAATTTTACATACCAGGATAGATTTAGTTATAAATAAAAAGATAACTATTTATTATACAAAGTACAATAGATAAGGAAATTTCTGAAATGAAAAATAAACGTTATTGGAAATATAGTTTGGTTAACATTATTTCTCAAGGTGGGGGAAAAAAATGTGATAGAAAACGAATAGATGATAATGATAAAATGAAATCTAATTAGCCCGTTGTAACACTATACACCATTGTAAAGCTATGATTTTACAAATTTATATTAAAATTGGCACCAATAGAATACATACTGTGGTACAATAATGATATATTTTGTTTTGAATTTTATTTTATATCTTGAAAAGTGTTTTACTAAATTTCTCAAAATCGTTATTAGATCTATATTTATTTATAAAGGAAGTTTATCAATATAAGAAGTGTGTCATTCTACTATATAAATACATTTAATTTTGCAGGAATCAATGGGTTTTGTTTGTGTTATAATTAAATGGAATAGAATCTCTGTACGAATGTTGAAACTTAAATATTAGCTTCTAATTTTTTATTATCAATAAAAATAAAGATACGTGTTTCAAAATGTAATTATACTTTGATGTAGTTAGTTACTAGTCTCTCTTAAGACTTATTGCTAAAGACACTAAAGTTATAGAATATTTTCATTCGTACTGTATTTTAATATCTATACTTATTTTAAACATTATATTTTGGAAAAAATATTTTGGAATTTAAGTATTTGCTGTACAAAATTACCTTTGCCATGTCTGTGATCGTGTTTGCATTATCCATGAGTTTCCTTTGATCCATTTTCACTTTCCTGAGGCTGTAATTTAATATAAAGATTTGTGAGAATATAAATAACTTCTTTAATATGTTTAAATAAACAATTATAAGATATTATACAAGAGAAAGTAAAAAAATTTACGACCTATTTTAAAATAGCGTTTTTATGAATATTAACTGTATATTGACAACATAAATATGACTTCCTTAATAGTGAAAGAAAGGATTAATAAAGTAATTAATTGTGTAAAAAAGGGAAATTGTAATGTTAACGTTTTAACTTTTATACACATTCTATGGAGTTTTTACAAAATATGGCGGAACATGGTTTTTTTACGGCAAAAAAAAAAAGTTAGTAAAAACATCAATTTCTATTTTAATGGTAATCATCATGTTATCTATGAAATTTGTACACGCCAGAGATAAAATATAATCTCAAAGATATTAAAGCAGAAAAAAAAACCAACAATTATTAAAAATTTTATGAGAAAGAATTTTATATCAATGATTTAAAGATGACATTTTTTGCTTATATTAATCCTACCTTTCTCCCTTGCATAAAAGTTTCTAGAGTTTTATGTAGAAATGGAAGAGATAAGAGAACAGTGACGTTAAAATATTAATTCAATAATGAACTAATGCGTCTGCTCCAAAGAATGAAAAGAAAGGTGTACAGTTACCATAAGGCTTTTGTCACATCAAACACAAATAAAAATTAGAGGTTCATGGAAAAATTTATATTTTAATTTCATTGGCATTATATAATATTTTATCCGTTAATTTTTTTTTAATATGTGAATTTTATGAAGTTATATACACTCAAGAGCCAAAACATTACGACCACCTGTCAATAACGAGTTGGCCCACCTTTCGCGCACAACACAGCTTCAACCCGCTTTGGTATGGATGCCACAAGTCCTTGGTAAATGGCCGGAGACAGATTGTACCAGATGTTTAAGCAACGGTCACGCAAATCCGAGATATTGCGAATTGGTGGTCTTTGAACTCTGAGCTGCCGTCCCAGGATATCCCAAATGTGTTCTATCGGATTGATATCCGGTGATTTAGGTGGCCAGGACATTAACTGGAATTCAGCATCATGTTCCTGGAACTACTCCAACACAATTTTAGCCTTGTGATAAGGGGCGTTGTCCTGTTGGAACATTCCATTTCCAGCTGGAAAAACAGAGGCCATGTAAGGGTGCAACTGGTCCTCAATGATGTTCAGATACCCTGTAGCATTCATGGTCTGCTCTATCACAACCACGGGTCCCAGAGACGCCCAAGAGAACGTCCCCCAAAGCATAATACCGCCACCACCAGCCTGTGTATGACCTACTGTACATTGAGGGAGCAACTGTTCGCCTGGAAGACGGCGTATCTTGACACGGCCATCGGCGTGATTCATCTGACCAGGCAACTCTCTCCCACTGATCCATGGACCAGTCACGATGTTCCCGGGCCCAGCGCAGGCGCAGTTGGCGATGACGCTTGGTCAGCAAAGACACACGAGTGGGACGTTTGCTGCGTAGCCCCATATCCAACAGTGTCCGCTGAACAGTGTGCTCCGATACTATTCTACTTGGTCCTGTATTGTATTGGGTTGTCAGCTGAGCCACTGTCTGGCTCCGGTTTTGCTTCACCATGCGAGACAGTCTCCGACGACCTTTTTCTTTGATAGCGTGTGGACGTCCAACACCATGTCGTCTACTGCTGGTTTAACCGTCATTCATCCACTTTGCATAAGTACTAACAACTGTAGATCGCGAGCAACCCACGAGTCATGCAGTTTCGGAAATACTTGTTCCG